ACAAACGTCATGGTGTGCCTTCAGTCTTTGTACGATGCCTTGAATCTTTCTTACACTGTTTGCAAGTTGCTCTGCATCCTGACTTATTAGAAGAGCTGGTTTTGATGTAAATCTGCCAAATACTGTCGTCTTTTCTTCCAGCCAGTCTTTTTAAACTGGCTTATTATTATTACACAAACACAAAAAATTAACACACCTTCAACATTAGCCTCTCTTGAAATTTTGTGACGAAATGAATAAGACCGAAGAAAGGCGACGGCATTTATAGATTACGCCGGGCAACATGCGAAAAGGAGTCGCGGGCCGTTGCGACAAGAATTTTCCGTCGAAAATGCGTTCGGACAAGTATTGAATCGATTCAACTTAGCTTTAATCTTCTCGGCAACAGTTGCAATGACTTTAAAACAGCTAATTAAGCGGATTTATCAATTGATTTAATAAAAATCAAAAAAATCATGATTTTTCTGATTAATTTAAATAAACAGTGATTTTGAATTTTTTTAATAAAAATCAATTTTTGCCCAACACTGTTTTGAACTCAGTTCTGCTGCTGGGAAAATCTAGATTACTTTTTTAGTTGTTTGAACAAACTAGTAAAAAGTTGCTTAGAAAAAATGTTAATGACCTTTTTTCTTTCGTCTTCTTCTCCGAGGAAAAAGCCTGGAGATTTGCGAAACAAATAGTTTAAATGCCGATAAATCAGCTGGGTCAGTTTGCACAAAAGCCCGGAAAAACAATTAGGAGGGACTTTGCCCGGCCGTTTTAATTAGCATTTACACGCGGGTACCTAGACGCCTATTCCCATCCGACGAGGCGGCCCACACATTGCATTTAGGCAGATTTATTTCGGTTTTAGGCGATAAATTCTCTTAATATTCGCATAAATACGAGCCGAACGCACCAAAGGAGTTGTAATAATTGTGAGGGATTACCTTTTTACTGTTTGGTGCATCTGTTTGCCGATAAATCACCGATCTGGCAATCGGACGTTCGTTCAATACGAATTTAGAATCCCTCAGTGTCTGTTCCTCTGTTTACCGGTGGAATCAGAGTCGAATTTTCACTAGTTGACAATGTTAACAAGGGAAAATCAATTTTTTGGCCCTGTATATCCGAAGCGAAGCTTTTACGTAGGAATGTTTATAAGCAGTTTAACGCGCAAAGTTGAAAGTATGGCCAAAAAGGCACATTTGGATCTGGGATTTTGAGGGAATTTCCTTTTAAAAACCCCTTGCTTTTGAACTATTGTTCCCGTTTTGCAGGATGAGAATGGCCATAAACATTACTGGTTTTTACCTCCTTAACCACTTTGCAAAAATGTTTGGAAAACTTTTTGCAGCTTCGAATTATGAACAAAACCCTAATACTTATTTCTTTCTTACTTTTAGGTCAATATTTCTAAACAACACTGTCTCTAATCAGAATAACCACGTTTTTCCTAACATTTTACTGTAAAATACTGACGAACTGAATAAAAAATTAAGCGATCGATTTTGCAAGAGAATTCGTAGGCTTTCTTTGAACACAGTGTTACCCAGGCCTACTCTGGGCTATAAAACGCTTTCAAAATTGACTTTTTCACTTCAAATAAAAAACTTCACTTCAAAATAAATGTCAAAGTTTGGTCTGAAAAAACCACCACAAAATACGCACGCAGTTTTGAAATTGCCTGATGATGACTCAAAATCAAAATGTTTTCGGACTATGTCCTATAAACTTTATACAAACCTCCATGACTGACTTGACTGGCGTCAGCAACAATAACTGTGAGACTCCGGCCTGCAGCAACAAACGCAAAAATCAGCCAAAATTTGAAAAAAATTTCCAAAATTCCCTGAAGATTATTCAAAATAAAACGTTTTGCACTTATAGACTGGAATTTGCGCCGAAAATCTAGTAAAAAGGTGATTTTGTAACGACTGATTTGTTATCCAATAAATGTCAAACTATCACCTCCTTAAATACCAAAGAAAATTGAAAGAAATTGAAAAATTGCTGGAAATTGCTTGATAATGGCTGAAAATCCACACTTTGGACGCATCAAACACACTTTGCCTTATAAAATGCATCCATTGGCGCCCATCTCACTTCATTAGTGCCTGAATAAATAAATACGAAACTCCGACCGCCAAACACCAACTTGGAACCCAAAAAAAATTGTTAAAAATTACCTGACGATGACTAAAAATCGAAACTCTGCCCACTTGTAGAAGCGACTTTGCCCTATACAACGCTTATGAAATTAACTGGCTCACTTTGCCAACCACAGAGGGAATAAATGCCAAACTCCGGTCTGCAGAGACTTTGAGAAATTACCTGATGGTGATGGAAAACCGAAACTTTGCTCACTTATACAACAGAGCTTGACCTACTGAAGCAACCAAAAAACTTTCTAGTGCAACTAGATTCCTGAGTAAAAAATGTCAAATTCCAGCCTGAGTAAATAACCGCATTATTGGAAAAATATATTGATTCGACTAAAAAATCAGACATCTCTATGCCACCTGGTAATCAAACCGGCGCAGTCCAGCTGCGGTCAAGAGAGAGACAACCCCAGCGGTTGCCATGGAAATCAGTCTAACCTTGTCGCACGCTGCCGATGTACCAGGGTCGATTGAACCGAACAGCGCCAAGAACTCCCACAAACTCGTCACGTTCAGGAAATATTTGAAACCACTTTCTCAGAAGAAACTTCCCAATAGGCAAACCAGCCCGTACAAAATGATTTACCATTTTCCTGCTAATGGGACGGAACATTGTTCAATCGGTGCTTAGCTTGCACTTTTGTCGACTCGACCAACTGAAACACTTAATAATCATCGTTGGCAATCATCTACACGCCACTGACTGCGCTCGAGTGTTTGTTTTCCAATCTCCTGCCGATAGCACTGTTTGTTTTTCCGTCTTTCAGTCTCTTTATCAGGCGACAGTCGTTGGTGAAACCTTCCAGTGCGATGATCCTGGACCATCTCGAGCTGCTGCAGCAGGCTTTTGGGCCCGGAAAGTTCGACGTTGAAGATCAGACAGGTTTGTGGCCGCTGCCACCCAGCAGGAGCACTGATGGAGAAGTTTTCCAGAACTTTCCAGCCAAGGAGCCAACTACTTGGGAGTGGTAACTTCTGTGACTCTCCACGGGAAAAACCCGAGTAAAACTTTGCGTTTGATCGTGAAAGCTGCCCAAGGTAGTCAGCAGGCTGTGAGGAGCTCCAGGGCGATTCTGCCTGCCTTTGAGAGGGAGCTGGAACTTTACCAGACGGTGCTCCCAGGACTGGCTAGTTTCCAGGCCGAGTTCCATCTTTCCAGTCCTTTTGTGGCTGCCGCCTGCTTCGCAGGTTGTTAAGTGCCAAGCAGGGCTCTCCTGTTCAAGTCTCACTCATCACTTTTCGCAGGCTCGCTTTCCCCAGGCAAAGAAGCTCTAGTGCTGGACGATTTGCGCCCGAAGGGCTTCCAGCTGTGCCCCACTCCTGATGGCCTGGACTTTTGCCATCAGGCAGCAGTCTTCCGGGAATACGCCCGCTTGCATGCAGTTTCTCTGGCTTTTCGGTTAGTTCCTTATAGGAATTTTCCTTATCCCAGCTCTAGAGCTTATGCCATTCCAGGGACAAGGCCCCAGAGCAATTCCTTGAGCTCACCAGGAAGATAGAGCGGAACTTTCTCGAGCAACGCGCTGCCCAGCGTCCAGAGCTCTATGAAGAGCAGCGGCGCGTGGTGCTGGCTATGGGCAAGACGGCCCTGGACGGGCAGCATGAGGAGAGGCGACAGCAGTTTGAGGTTGAATATCGCAGGTTTCTGGAGGAGGAGCCTGAGGAGGAGCTGCTGGCAGTTTGCCATGGGGACTGCCATCCCAACAACATCCTGTTCCAGTACGCCGAAGGCCTCGAGTCGCCCAAGGTGGCGCTGATCGACTGGCAGCTCTCCTCCCTGGCCTCCCCGATGCGCGACCTGACTTTTGTTCTATTCGCTTGCGCCTCCAAGGAGGCGCTGGATAGAAGAGGGGAGCTGCTCCTGATCTACCACGCCAGCATTCGCACCAGCTTGCAAGAGTTCGGGTGCGAAGCCGATAAGGTGAAGACATTTTTTTAATTTTTGAAGAGTTACATATTGTAAGGGAAATGGCCTGGGGTGCTCACCTTTGGAATGGGGGGATCGAAATTCATGGTATTTCAGTAAATGGGAGCCCCATTTGGGCCCCGTTTACTGTCAAATATGCCACTGACAAGCGGGAAGTTTCGCACCTGTTCTGGAGATTTCGAGAACCATCTGGGTTACCTGGAGGAAACTATATAAGCGGCGAGGAGAATCACAGGGGGAAGTGAAGTGACAGCAGCGACCGGGTGCAGAAGAGGTTTTTTTTTCGTCTGTTATAGTTATTGTTTGTGAAGTTCACGGTAATTTTGAAGTTAGTTTGTTCCTGTTCCGTAGTTAAAGTTGTACCGAGTGGAATAAAAGTTGTAAGCTGAAGAAAGAGTTTAATACTCGGCCATCCACGGTACATTTGGTGTCAGAAGTGTGATTACCAGAACCCAAGTTGAATTTTGATGGAAACAAGAAGTAAATCAAAAAAAGGAAGACCCTGCAATTGAGAACCCCAGTTTGATTGCACTGCTCATGCAGATGAAAGACGAAATGAGCGACAACAGTAGGAAAATGGACGAAAAAATTGACAAAATGAGCGACAAAAGTAGGAAAATGGAGGAAAAAATTAACAGAATGAATGACAACAACAAAGTTATCAACGAAATGAGAGATAAAATGGACGACAACGCTAAGAAATTTGAAGACCCGAAGGCAACCGTTGAAGGTAAACTAAAGAACATTGAGGAAGTGACTGATGATTTGGAAAACTCTAAAATCATGGACAGTCCTGCAGTAGGGGAAGAAATATTAACAGCGGCGAAAGTGAAGGAAG